AATTATAGAAAAAAAAAACCAGGCTTTTCTGAAAATTAAAGCACCTTGTCCCAGGTTCGCTGCCCTTCAACACTCCTTTGAATGGGTTCCGTCATGTCTACGTCCATCTTTCCAGGTTACCAGTCATTTTGTCCCTTTATCTTTTGTCATCTTCTGAGAAAAATTCTATGACTTGTTTGTTCCTCTTAAATATTTTTCTCCAAACTCTGCTGCCTTTTGTAAGGTCATGAAATGCTTTGCCATTTCCATGAGTGAACTTGTTCATGTCCAAGAACATGAAGGGATGCCTAATTGGAAGTGTGGAGCCGGTGGCCTGTCATTTCAGTTACAGAGTGGGTCTTGCTCAAGTTTAAGTTCACACTCTTTTTATCCTGGATATGAAATGGCCCGCTCTGTAATACCAAGTTCACGAAGGAAGAAAAAAGAAAATCTGCAACTATTCTATGAAGTAGTCATTTTTTAAATAAGAAAAAGCCTTTGTTTTTTAACATCTCTGCAAGCAACAATGTTGCTGTATTCAAGATGAAAAAGCAACTCTCTTTCCAATTCTGTTCCCTGACTTTTCTTCTCTTTTTAGTTAAGAATATTTGTATTTTTCTGGAAGGGGAGGGATCATATAACAATCAAAGAATTTTTACTTTTCAAAGAGAAGGAGTGAATTGGAGAGGAGGGGTAGGCAGGGAGAAAAGTGCAACAATGAATGAATGGAAATCCAAAGTCTCTGTAAACTTTCATTAAAATTAATTAAAAAAAGAATATTTATATTTTTACAATTCTTTACACTTTCATTAACCCCCCAAAAGATACCATTCAAACATTGAGAAAATGAAATAACTTTGGAAGCAGGGCTCACAGCTTTCTGCTTACATATAAGTGACAATTCTGGGCTGTTGGCACAAATAAAATAAAATCCACATTCATCAAACCCTTACTACTATTTATCAAACATAAGTTAAAACTACAGACACTCGTTTATTAAACTGTTCCCCGATTTTGCAGCCTCATCTCTTGAGTGACCATAGCTGGTAGTTCCTATACATCTTTCCAGAGACTGTCCACATAGCGACAAGATCTTGTGTACACACTAGGAGCCAGGCTGTGCGGTGACTAAAGCTGTGAGCTGTTAACAGAAGGGTTGATGGTTCAAACCCACCATCTGCTCTCAGGAGAAAGCTGGGGTAACCCTGCTTCTGTAATTATTATAGCCTTCAACATCCCAGGTGCAGTCACCATCCATCCCACAGGACTGAATCTCACTTTTCTACCTGACAGTCTACGCATCGTGGGGACCGTTATGCATCCTTATTCTTTTTAGACGGCAAGTCCCCAATTCAGGGAGCTCTCTCTAGTGGCTTAGTGGTGAGGAACCGCACTGCCAACCTAAAGCTCTATGGTTTGAAACTACCAGCTGCTCCCAGGGAGAACGTGCACTCTCCTGTGAGAGTCACCGCCTTTGAACATCTGCTACCTGGTCATCTCTGCGTTGGCTCTGACTTGATGGAACACAACAACAGTCCCCAACTCACAGTGTATTTGAGCTACAACAAAAGGCGCTCACAACTCTCCTTGAAAATCTTTTTCTATCTTATCACTCATCCTATGCACTGTGAGGTTACAGCGCCTACTTGCCTGACATTATCATTCTCAGATATTCAATTGCAGATGTTCAACGCTAGGACTTACTATGTCATAGAGCAGGGTGTGAAGATGTAAAGAAAATACAAGTTTAAAAAAAAAGAGAGATACAAAGAGCAATAAAAATATGTTTTATATTATTAAAAAAAAAAAAAAAAGAGAGAGCTGGACAGTGACTAGGGATGATAGAAGGAGAATTGATGCCTCTGAGCTGAGGTGCTGGAGAAGAGTGTTGAATATACCATGGACTGCTAGGAGAGCAAACAGGTTTGTCCTGGAGAGGGTGAAGCCAGAATGCTCCTTGGAGTCAAGGATTCTGAAGCTTCGTCTGACATACTTTGGGCATGTTGCAAGGAGGGACTGGTCCTTGGAGAGACATCATGTTTGGCAGAGTGGAAGGGTAGAGAAGAAGAAGAAGACCCTCGATGAGATGGATCGATTCTGTTACTGGAATGGTGGGAATAAGTGCATTTGGGATGGCTGGGTTGGCACAGGACAGAACGGCGTTTAGAGCTCTTGTACATAGTGTCGCTATAAGTCGCAAGCGACTCGATGGCACATAACAACAACAACAATTCAACTTGTGTCAGAATGGACACTGTGCTGTATATGGCTGTATGATAATAATTTATTTAGTCCTTTGAAGAATCCTAGGTTATTTCAAATCCATTCCATCGCAGTGAATATATTCTTTAATTCCTTGATCCTTGTTACTGGTAGGTGCTGTCAGGTAGAGAATGACGCACAGTAACCCCGTGAACAGATCTGAACCCTGTCCCATCCTGTGTCATCCTTACTTCTGACACACTGAGCCCACCGCTGCAGTCACTGTGTCACTCCACCTCATTGACAGTCTTCCTCTCTTTCACTGACCCTCCACCCTCCCAAGCATGATGGCCCTTTCCAAGGAACAGCCTCTCTCAGCACCGTGTCCAAAGGACGTGAGGCGAAGCGCTATCATCTGTGCCTCTAAGGAGCATCCTTGTTTCTTCAGCCCCCTACCATCCTGAAGCTTTCTCAATTCCCACATCCACGGCACCACCACTCCCTCTACGCCATGCCAGCTGTGAGCAGATCTCTCACCTGCTCTGTTCCGTGGCTGCCCCAGTGGGTCAACAGCCTCCTAACTCATCAATTCAGCATGTTCGCCCCGTTCCCAGTCCTTTTTCTACGCAGCGTTCAGAGAAGTCCTTTCAAAGCTGTCCCAGACTCTGTAACTTTTCTCGTTAAGCCACCAGCAGACTGCCATGGCAGTGAGAATGCACCACACATGGCTTTCGTGGTTTGAGAGCCCACATGACGGGACCTGCTGGTTCCTCGCTTCCCCACGCTCCCCCTCGTCTAGCATGCCCAGTCACAGTTGTCAAGCTGCTGCCCCATTCTCTCTCCCACCTCCAGCACCTGCTGCCTGCTCTGCCGAGAACACTGTGCCCGCTTTCCTGCAGGGTGGGTTCTTGTTATCCAGGTGCCACATCAAAGTACCCGCGCCGGGAGACTCGGCCAGGGCACACTCTCCCCAGAGGCTGGCATGCAGCCCCGACCTCGCACTCTTTTCTGCTCTCTTTCCTTGACAATTCTTACAGTAGTATCACAGTTACCTTGTGTTTAACCCACTCATTAACTAAACAGCCACCTCCAAAACAAGTCCCAAACAAGAAGTGACCTTGCTTGCTACACACATGACAATGGACACTTTGGACCACAAGACTTCTGAGCTGCCACCATTTAGGATTTTGTTACAACCTTCTCAGGGAAAAGCCAATCTCAAAACAGTCAAATTACTTTGAACTCTGTTAGCTAAAATGAAAACTTCTCCTCAATCAAAACTTACCAAAGAAAATATTCTGAATTTTTTTCTTTCCTAAATACATTCTAATAAGTGTTTCTGAAACTTGAAACTGTCACCTGTGAAGCTGTGATTGGGTAATTCTGTAATCCCATCCTCCCTGACCCAAGTCCAGTTAAATGTTAACCTACCAGCGAGGAGAAGCTCCACAGCGGCCAGCTCCCCAATATCAAACAGGTCACTGAGGATAAAGGCTTCTTTAATGAGCTGCTCCGGAAGAAGGCGCATGCCCTGCTGGCCTTGGATGGCCACGCCCTCCGTGCTTGCTTTCTGGACCTTCTCATGCTGTTGAACATTTTTTGGCTACAGTGGAAAAAAGAAAGACGACTGTGTATTAAAAAGAGCAGGTGAAGACACAGTCCTAAGGTGTTACCTGGAGAAGTTTATTCCCATTCTCACACCCCAACATTACAAACGGAAGCATTTGTGAGCAGAGAACCTAGAATTAGACTCTGCTGAGTTAAGCCTCAGAGACATTGCAAACACGGGTCCTAGACCCCAGTAAAGCGGATGTCAACATAAAGGAAGTCACATACATGTTTTTTCACTTCCCAGAGCATGTGAGTTACATATACATTATCCTGCATTCTATTAAATGTGCCACAGCATATGAAAAAATCTGAAATATTTAAAAAATGATTAAAATGTGACAGAGACAAAAAATGCTGTTGCTGCTGCTGCTGCTGCATGCCACTCAGTTGGAAGCGGCCCATACCTGCCCCTCCAGCAGGTTTTGCACAGAAGGGTCATCCTCCTCCCACAGAGCAGCTGGTGGATTCGAACCACATACTCTGGGGACGGCAGCACCACTAACTCACCAGAGCTCCCTTGAGCACATGTTATTGGAAAAATGTTGTCAGAACTTCAATTCAATGGAAAAATTCAATTGCAAAGCAAAAAAATGAAACAAAGTGCACCTGCACTTTCAACTTTTTATAGCACTGTGGTGTTGGCTTAAAAGTTGGCTTTTCAAGCCATTACGTTCGCCCCTCTGATCACCAGCTACCTTAACTGCACACATATGGTCTTGAAAACCGCCAACACCTTTGGACCTAGGATAAGAGAGAGAGTGCTTCCCATACTGAGGAGAAAGACTTGAGAGACTGGAGCAAGATGCTGGTGATGGTAGTGGAGAGACTGCGGCATGAGGCTAGGATAAGAGAGAGTGCTTCCCACACTGAGGAGAAAGACTTGAGGGAGACCAGAGCGAGACCCTGGTGATGGTAGTGGAGAGACTGTGGCATTGCTGTGGAGAAATCATGCAAGGCATAACTAGAGGAGCCCTGAGATATAGGCCACAGTTAAAGTTTCTGTTCTTCTTGCCAGATGATTGAAGGAAAAGCTGACTTACAACTGCTCTGAGGCAAACCTCACGGGAGGACTAAGGAAACCAGAGGCATCTTGAATTTGTGTCGCTGAACTGAAACCAGGACTTTTACTCATTAAGGAATTGTGTTTTACTCTTCATCTGGCTTGTGACTACCGGACTACACCTGGACTTGCATTAGGTGATACTTTCTGCCTCTCTCACTCCCCAAGCTACTTCCCTAATAAAGCCCACTCTTGGTACCACAACTGTGAGTAGAGTCTGAACCAACAACGAAAAATCAATTCCAGTGAGTGGTAGAAACAGGTGCAGGAGCGTGAGGGGGTGGTTAAGTGGGACCTAGTAGCTATCTGTTTGATGCTATGGATATTATTGATGGGGGAAGTTTTCCTTTACAAAGCAAGTAAAAGTCAGACTCAGCTACTTCACGTTGTATCCGCTCCTTTCGCAAGCTTCTTTTCAATAACTCTGTTGGACTCTGAACCACAAAAGTTTGAGAATACTCACAAAATAGCTTACTATGTTTCAAGTCTCAAAGGGACTTTCCAACTATACATGCCAAAAATAAAAGCACATGATCCCACCAACTCATTAAAGCTGGTTCACCTTCATGCCACACGCAACTTCTCTGCCCTTCCTCTCCCTCTCTAGCCTGGGACAATGAATCTTGCCCAAGAGCCCCCAATAAAAAGCTTCTTTGCTTACAAAAAAAAAAGGCACATGATCTTCAAATGAGAGATAACAAATGGATACACGAATCACCGAGTTACAATAAGTAAAGTTAATGATAGTTTACTAATAGATTATTTTAAAACAGGGTTTAAACTCTGACTCACTGGGTTCCAACACTTTTGGAACATACAGTATAGAACTACACTGATGAGCCACAAAATCTTTCATTTTAGACCTTATGAACAGACTATTTAACCTGACTGCTCCACTACGAATGGGAAAACCGACTTCTAGTTAGGCGACTTGCCCATGTGTCACAGAAATGCCCACAGGTAGATCAAGGTCAGAACCCTGCTCAATGGACTCCCAGCCCAGGACTCTCTACCACACCATTAGAGACAAAGCAAAATGCCATTCAGGTAACACCAATCAGAAAGCAGCTCACAGGTGGGCATTTAGCGCTTCCACTGAAGTACTCCTGATGGCAGGTGATGGATGGCACCCAGGGCTAATCAGCTCAGCTTACATAACACTGGACAGAGTTCAAATGTTTAACAGTTTAACTGGAAATCAATCAAGCAATCTGACCGAGCTCTGACGTAGCATTATCTACATAGGTTAGAAATTCCAAAAAGGAAAGTTACTTCTTGAATGTACTGAACTTCCTAAGTAATACTCAATTATTATTACATTTATCTCCAAGTGCAAAAAACTATAGCACTAACTCTGAGCAAGAATAAAAAATAAGAATTATTCCTAAAAAAACACCTGTAGGGGAGCTCTGGTGGCCTAGTGGCAAGGAGCAGCAACTACAATCCCAGAGGCACACGGTTCAAATCCACCAGATGCTCTGCCGGGAAAAGGAGGGACAATCTCCTCCTGTACCAGTCAGATCTGATTTGACGGTACACTCACACAAAATTAAAAAAATAAATAAAATTTTAAAAAAAACCACCTGTATATTTTAAAAGAAAATTTGTTATCATTACAGTAGGACAAATATATTTTGTGCACATGCATTAAGAGTCCACTCGCTCCTTTTTAATCTTAAATAAATAAATAAATAAATTTTAAAAGCAAATGTCCTACTGGGTTTTTGAATAATGAGATGAAGTCCGGTCTATGTTTCTTCAAAATCATGTCAAGCAGGTGAACAGCTTCAGGCTGCCTCTTCCAAAGAGCATTTCCCACCGTCTGCCAAATGTCTTTATAAGGTCCCCAGAGGCTGGCCGCTGAAAGGAAGAAGAAAAAACAAGGTAAAAGGCCCCATCAAATAAAACACATATTTGAAGAATAATGTAATGTTAAATGTTATGTCACAATCAAAGCTACTTTATATACAAGAAGTTATAGACCCAGAGTAAGGCGTCCCAGGAAGTTTAGGGCACAGCTGTCAACCAAAAAGCCAGGGTTTAAACCCACTGGGGAGCTGTGTGTTTCTCTGCTCCCAAGGGAATCAAAGGCCAGAAATCTCCGTGGGCAGTCTGATTGTCACAAGACGCTGCTATGAATTGGACGACACCCAGCAAGCACAGCCAGGCAGATATTACTATGAAACCACAGCTCACAGTATTCTGGTGGCACAGTGCATAATGTGTTGCACCGTTAATCACAAAGTCAGAGGTTTGAGTCTAACAATTATTGCAGGAGAAAGATGGGCAGTCTTCTCCCACAAGGTTCAGTAATCTACTGAACTAATCTACTCAATGGCACTTTCTATGGTTGTGGGGTTCTTTGGTAATATGTTGCTGTTGTTGTTATGTGCTGTCAAGTCGACTACTACTCATAGTGACTCTCTGAACCTTGTTCTGTCCTGAGCCAACCTCGCCAGCTCTGATTCCCCTGCCACCATGGGTATAGTAACTGTGTCAGTCTATCTCATCCAGAGTCTTCTGCTCTGATCCTCTACCATTCTAAGCATGATGTCCTTCTACAAGGTCTTGTCCCTCCTGTCCACATGCCCAAAGTGTGTGAGACAGAATTTCAAAATGCTTGTCTCCAAGGAGCAACCTGGTTTCACCCTCTCCAGGAAATAGCTCTTTGTTCTCTTGGTGGTCCATGGTATGTTCAATACTCTTCTCCAGCACAACTCAAAGACATCGAGTCATCTTCTGTCACCCTTAGTCATTGTTCAGCTCTCTGATGCATAGCAAGCAACTGAGAAGACCATCGCCTGGAGCAGGTGCACCTCAGAAGCTAGACTACTGCAGCTCTTCAGCACTCTGAAGAGCTCCCTGACGGCCGACTTTGCCAAAGCAACTCGTCTTTTGATTTCCTGAATGCTGGTGCCAAGATTGTTGATTGCAGATCCCAGTAAGATGAAATTGTTCACAACCTCCATCTTTTATCCATCTATCATGATACTGCCAACTGGCCTGGTGGTGAGGGTCTTTGTTTTCTGGACGTTGAGATACAATCTGTATTGAAGGTTGCCATCCTTGAACTGTAGCAAATGCTCCAAGTCCTCCAATTCGGTGAACAAGCCTGCGTCTCTGCATACCACAGGCTGTTCATGGGTATTCCTCCATTCGCCTTCATACTGTCTAGCATCCTCAATGATCTGTTCTACATATACCTTGAAAAGGTGTCTAAAATTTGCTTCCCTGGAGACAAGGATGATGAATAAAAATCTATCAAACTGAACATGAAATAAAGAAAAGAAACGGTGTAGTGAAAGGAAATAGCCTTGACACACTCCATTCTTTATTTTAAGCCATGTAGTCTTTCCTTGCTCTGTTCAAACAAATGTTTTCTGGTCTGGGCATAGTTTTCACATGAGCACTATAAAGTGGTCTGGGATTTCCAATTCTTTGCAATGTTACCCACAACTTGTTGTGATCCACACAGTCAAATGTCTCTGCATAGTCTATAAAATAAAAACAGACAACTTTCTGGTACTCTCTAATTTCAGCCAAGAGCCAAATAATATCAGCAATAATATCCTGAGTACCCTGGCCTCTTCCAAACCCAGTTTGCACTTCTGGCAGTTCTCTGTCAATCAACATACTTTTCTGGTCATTTGTCAACCATTTTCATCAAGATTTTGTTTGCATGTGATATTTTGTAATAGAAAAAGAAAATTATTTCTTAGCTTCTTCAAATGTGATAGTTAACTGAGCCTGGTTTTGCCACTTTAAAAGCAAACAACCACAAAAAAGGCAAATTAAACAAAAAAAAATATATTCTTAAAAACTGGATGAAACAATGGAATAACCTCTTTGAACTCCATGTCCATACACCACGTACACACACACATACTGGCTCTACAGTCACAGAGAAGACACACGGTTCCCAGGACAGGGGGGTGTACCACGCTCTCCAGGAACTCAAGAGCCAGGAGACCTGGAGGCAGGAAGCGAGGCTCTGACTTGCAGGCAAGTGCACTCCGTGCAGGCTGCATCAGCCTAAGGATTCTGCGCTTCACCATATAGATCAACAAGATGAAAAACATGTGTTGCATCTGGAAAAGCATGTTAACCTGACAAGAACTGCTCAGGGAAACGGTAGGGCTGGGACACGCTGACGAACAGGAGAAGAAATGGAGCCAGTGAGCGGTAAAGATTGAGAGGTTGACTGTGAAGAGGACTAGTAGAGCAGCAGCTGGAAGAGGCATGTTAACAAGAGGCTGATGGAGAGAAAAGCACAAGCAAGTGGTGGAGCAGAGAGAAAGATAGAGACTTAGGTGTATGAGGGACCAGAACATAAAGATGGGGGTTTCCTTAAACAGGAAGAGAAGCTGAAAAGGGATATCTAAGTCTGCATGTGTGTGTGGCAAAGAGGAGGGGAAAGTGCAGCTTTGTGGGCTTCTGTGTTCTCTGTGATCGAGAGGCTGCGACTGAGCTATCACTGTGAGAAAGGGTTGCAACAGTCACTATGGTGACAAGGATGACGGTGGCCAGGGTACCACGGAGGAGGGCCAAGCAGTGTAAACAGCTTACTAGCAACCAATAAGCCACAGAGGTAAAGCTCAAGCACTGGTCTTAGGACTCAACAACTATATGATCCCACCTGCTGCCCTCCTTTATAATTCCAAAATGCTCCTGAAAAAAAAAACAAAAAACAACAACACCTCCCAATTCCCAAGATTTTAAAAAATCTTTCTCTTCCATAGAGTTAATTACAAGTCCCTGGCACAGGCTTTAAAACATAAGGAATAACACATGCTTTGCAACTGTTGGCAACTCTCTTTCCTTTTTGCATCAATGTTTAATGATACTTGGGAAGTTGTTATTATGTGCCAAGATCTGAACCTGGCCCTATGTTCTGACATCCTCAGCACCTCTGAAATACTTGGGCCCATGTCAATCCATCTCACTGAGGATCTGCCTCTCCTATGCTTACCCTCCGCCTTTCCAAGCACCATGTTCTTCTCCAAGAACTGGCCCCTGCTTACAGCCTGCTCGAAGTAAGCGAGATGAAGCTTCACCACGCTTTAAAGCAATGCCGGCAACCACACACAGTGTGTGACCCCTGCTTCTGAGTTTACAGCTGAGTGACGCAGAAGGACGACAGCACTGAGGAGGGAGCTTCATATTAACATGCAGAAAAATGTGACAGAATCAAGCGTCAGGAGAGGGGGCTTTCCGTAATGATTCAGAACGGCATCAGAAACCGGTTGCTGTGGATCAGAACAAGTGCGACAGCAGTGGGGGTTTTGTTGTTTTATCTTCCAAATGAATTAAGCTGTGGAACAGTAGTAGGAAGAGAGGCAAATGTGGAATGCTGGGCATTTGTGGCTTTCTTTTTGCCCCATGTGGGTGGCCATAGAGCAGACCTGCTAGATGAATTAGGGGTCTCTGGCCCACAGTTCGCCAGCATTTGGGCCTGCTGAGATGGTGAAATACTGTAGGGCCTCGGGCCTGTTTTTAATTGTTTTTGGTCAAACATTCTTCTAGGTCATATAGCCCTGGTCTGTCCACTTGCTGTACATAGGTAACTCGTGGTTGCTGTGAAGCTGACCATGGGTAACCATTAAACATTTGAACTGATGTGTCAAACGCTTTAACGGTTACCCATGGTGGACAGTGTTTGGTGGAGCTCCCTGATAAAGCTTGAAAGCAGGAGTGGCATCCACTTCCGTAATAGCTTGCCTACGGAAACCCTATGAACCTGGAGAAAGGATGAAAGTCACACAAGTGTTGAGGATTTTAGTTCATAGGGTCACTATGAGTCGCCTGCGACTAGACTGGCACATAACAACAACAACAACATAGTTATAGGATAGTGCAGTCTAAGCTCCTGAAAATGGTTTTGAATCATTAGCTGTATAAACCCTGGAGACACTACTAAACCTCTTTAAACGACTTTCCAAACCTGTAAAATCAAGTATTAAAAGATGCTACTTCATAAGCGCATCAATGGGATTAAGTGAGATAATGCAACCTTAACAGGTTAACACTGCCTGGGGCGAAGGTGCTCAGTAAAGTGTTCATTATGTTTCCAAAATGCTTTAGCATAGAGTTTTAAATGGCTGTATTTACAAAACTCAGATTTAGGTAACTTTTCTGCAGCAGTATTTCTATGAAAAGTAGAACCAGTATCATCTCCTCCAAGCACTGCATTATCAGAGACTCTGCCAAGGTCTTATCCTACAGCTGTGATCTTAACTGTCCCCAAGAAGCGAAGTGGTCTCAGGGCGGCGGGGTCCCCCGTTCCCAGCAGGAGAAGTCAATGTCTCCAGCACCACTCCGCCCGCGCCTGGCTTCCGGCATCCTCGCCCCGCCCACCAAGTGCCGGCAGCACGCCCCCAAAATTCTGACACTCAAAAATGCACCCCGTAATGAAACGTCCTTGGGGCAGTTCTGTCCTGGGATGAGAGGTCCCACCCCAAATCTCCTGGCGGTCCTGGATCACCTTCCCAACTCCCCCGCACGCGGCGATCGGGGTCCCCGAGGTCCCCGAGCCCGGGCGCGCCCGCAGCGCTGCGAGTCCCGCCGGCCTCCTCCCGGACCGCAGGCTTCCCACGGACAGCCCTCACTGCCGGCTGCGTTCCCCTTCGGGGGGCTCCCGTGTCTCCCTACATTCTGGAGATGCGACTTTTCCAGCCACCTCTTGTGGCTGAATAATACTCCAAGACCTTTGGCACCACTGCTGGAGATCTGACACGTATCCTGGCAGAATCAAGAGAAGAAAATGCCTGAAAGGTTGTCCCTGGGCCGCGAGAGATTGCACACTAGGCTGCGGGGAACTGAGCCTCTAACCCCAAAAGCCAGTCCTAGGACCAGAGCAGCAGGAGCAACACGCGCCATTCAAACAGGAGAGGGGCGGAACCCTAGGCCCAAAGCCAGCGAAGAGCGGGCATCGAGCACTAGCGGGGATCTGAGCTCGGAGGAACCTCACGGCCCGCGTTTCCCCCGAAGAGCCCGTCACCTCGCGGCCCCGTGCAGCCCTTCCCCTCTCGCCCGGCCGCGCTTACCCGAATTTACCGCCAACGGCGTCGCCATCTTGGAGGCGCACTAACGGAGGATGGGGCTGCCCGCGGCGACGCCTGACTAAAAGGGCACCAGGCCGGCACCTCTGAACTGCGAGCTCGGTAGCACTCGACGTGCGAAAGGCTCCAAAATCCGCCCTGAATCACAAGCGTGAGTTTTCGCCCAGACTATTAATCTATTCCAAGAAGGCGTGGCCGCCAGCTCGTTAATGCGAAGCCCACAGGCGGGGCCTTGGTCGCGCGGAGCATCCTGGGATTGGTAGTTTTAGTCCTAATGATGCGTGAAGTTGTTTGGGGGAATGTGGAGAAAGACTTGATGAGACTAGTTAATAAAAGATCGCGCATCACAACAAGATAAAGGTAAATAATCCAATTGAAAAATGGGCACAGGATATGAACAGACACTTCGCCGAAAAAGACATTTAGATGGCGAACAAACACATGAAGAAATGTTCAAAATCCCTAGCTGTAAGAGAGATGCAAGTCAAAACAACTCTGAGATATCTCACCCCAGTCAGAATTGCAAAATTTAACAGAACAGCAAGCAACAAATGCTGGCGAGGTTGTGGAGAAACTGGAACCCTTATTCACTGTAGGTGGGAGTGTACAATGGTGCAACTACTGTGGAAGGCGGTGTGGCGCTTCCTCGAAAAGTTGCAAATAGGAGACTTTCTCCACCCTTGGACCGGAGGTGGTATCCTTCAGGGTAGACGGCGAGCTCGTGGTAGAGGGACGGAGAAGAGAGTTTGAGATAAGTACATAAGGGATTTCCTTGCCACGCACGATCTTGTGTGCATGTTTAACATACGATGGAGTACATGACAGAACCGGCCAACCAGAACCTGGGGCATATCTTATGCGGCAATTGTGGTGTCCCAATTAGTCCAAATCCTGCCACTATATGTGTGGCCTGCTTGCGAAGTAAAGTAGACATCAGCCAAGGCATCCCAAAGCAGTTTTTTATTTCTTTCTGCAAACAATGTGAAAGGTATTTTCAGCCACCAGCAACTTGGATACAGTGTGCTGTAGAATCCAGGGAACTTCTTGCTTTGTGTTTGAAAAAACTGAAGACACCTTTGAGTAAGGTACGGCTTGTCGATGCAAGTTTTGTTTGGACTGAACCCCATTCTAAGAGACTTAAACTCACTATTCAGAAAGAGGTGATGAATGGTGCTATCCTCCAGCAAGTGTTTGTGGTGGATTATGTTGTCCAATCTCAAATGTGTGGAGATTGTCATAGAGTAGAAGCTAAGGATTTCTGGATGGCTATTGTTCAAGTGAGGCATAAGGCCTTGCATAAAAAAACTTTCTAGTACCTGGAACAGTTGATTTTGAAATACGGAGTACATCAGAACACACTTCGTATCAAAGAGATTCATGATGGACTGGATTTTTATTATTCTTCAAAACAACATGCTCAGAAGATGGTAGAATTTCTTCAGTGTACAGTTCCCTGCAGATGCAAAGCATCCCAGAGATTGATCTCTCAGGATATTCATAGTAACACTTACAATTACAAAAGCACTTTTTCTGTGGAGATTGTTCCAATATGCAAGGATAATATTGTCTGTCTCCAAAACTGGCACAAAGCCTGGGAAATATGAACCAAATGTGTGTGTGTATTCGAGTAACCAGTGCCATTCACCTCTTAGATCCCAACACTCTCCAAGTTGCAGATATTAATGGGAACACTTTCTGGAGTCACCCTTTCACTAGTTTGTGCAGTCCCAAACAACTTGAAGAGTTTATTGTGATGGAATGTAGCATAGTTGGAAATCTAAAACACAGTGCAGGTTCTGGAACAGTATAAAAAAAACACACTTGGGGAAGTCTGGATACAGAAGACATCTGAGATGAATACAGATAAGCAGTATTTTTGTCGCACACATTTGGGACATCTTCTAAATCCTGGAGACCTGGTGTTAGGGTTTGATTTGGCCAACTGTAACTTGAATGATGAGCATGTCAACAAAATGAACCCTGATAAGAGTCCCAGAGTGGTATTAATCAAGAAGAGTTATGACCGCACCAAACGTCAGCGTCGTAGAAACTGGAAACTGAAAGAGCTTGCCAGAGATAGGGAAAACACGGATACAGATGATGAAAGACAAGATTTCCTTGAAGATCTCGAAGAAGATGAGACAATTAGGAAAAATGTCAACATTTACTGAGATTCCATCATCCCTGTAGAGAATGATACAGATGATGAGGGAGCACCTCGAATTAGTCTTGCAGAGATGCTTGAAGACCTTCATCTTTCCCAGGATGCAACTGGTGAAGAAGGTGCATCAATGATGACCTCATGAGTTCATGCTGTAAACTGTCATATCCTTGGAAGTCAAGGAAATGGCCAGAATAATCTTTTATTTCTTTTGTTGAGAATATTATCCAGTGTGCCTCCATATTGAATTAAGAGAAATTTAGCTTTAAATCTAAATAAATATGAGTAGTTATAGACGGATGTAGTTTTAAATAAAAAGGAATAATTTCTCACGTGAAAAAAAAAAGTTGCAAATAGAAATACCATTTGACCCAGCAATTCCACTGCTGGGAATATACCCCAAAGAAACCATAACCGCCACTCAAGCAGATATATGCACACCCATGTTTATTGCGGCTTTGTTCACAATAGCAAGGAGTTGGAAACAATCTAAGTGCCCATCAACAAACGAATGGCTAGAGAAGCTGTGCTATATTCACACAATGGAATACTACGCTGCATTGAAAACCAAGGAACTCATGCAATATTATTCAAAATGGGTGACCCTGGAGGACATTATGCTGAGTGAAGTATCTCAGTCACAAAAGGACAAATACTTCATGGCGCCACTGTTGTAAAACAGGACTGACCTCGGGGTTGGGGGGAGACTGAGAAAGATGGGTTCAGTAATGTATACTGCATTGAAACAAATGAAGGAGAAAATTGTTTAAAAGGGATATGTGATTAGGTATTTTTGTCATGACAGGAGTCCAGAGTGAGGGCTGTATGGTGGAATGGACCTGGGGGGAGGGATTGTGGAACGGTGAAGGAATTTTTCTTTTGCTTTTCCAAGAGGGTGGTGTACTGGGGTGGGGAGAAGAGTGTAGCAATGAATGAATGAGTGGGGGGGGGAGAAAAAAAATCACCTACTTCGGATGACTTGCTGCTAACCCACAGACACTGCTTCCAGATCGCCAGCTGCTCTGTGGGAGAAAAGTGGGAAGTCTAATCTCTCTTCAGATTTGCAGCCTCTAAAAACCCACTGGAAATTCTGCTATGAGTCAGTCGGTTCAGACTCTACAGTATACAACAACTTATGTTATCGTTATATTAAGTGAAGATCATGCTTATGATGTTAGTGGGTAAGGAATTGCACTGCCAACTCAAAGGCAGGCGGTTTGAATCCACCAGCTGCTCCAAGGGAGAAATATGAGGCAATCACCTCCCCTATGTGCTTTACGGCCTCTGAAAATCCACTGGCGAGTGAGCTCTGAGTCGGTTTCGACTCCATGTCAATGAATGTCATGATATTATAGGGAACTCTGGTGACATAGTGAGTAAGGCGTTGTATTACCAACCAAAAGATAGGAGGTTTGAATCCACCAGCAGTTCCACAAGTGAGAGATGGGCAGTCTCCTGTGCCATTTACGGAAGGGTTAGCTAGGAGTCAGATGTTAGCCATGCAGCAGGGTTAGCAATGAATCAGTTCTTACTCGATGGCAATGAGTGAGTATGACATTATAAAAGCTGGCATTTGAAATATTATCTAAGTTTAACTCTTTCTCACATTGTAGAGGGGAAGAAGACACAGGACATCTATGCCTCAAAAAAGTAATTTGAATTTTTATTACATTCCAGCAATAATCAGTAAATTATTGTGTCACCAGAGTTGCAGGGAGAGAGAGAGAAAGAAAGAGAGAGAGAGAGAAGGAAAGAAAGAGAGAGAGAGAAAGAAAGAAAAGAAAAGGGAGGACCATCACTTTTTATTGTGAAAATTTCAAATACATACAAAATTAGAATATTACCTCACCTCAGCAACAATAGCAAAGTCCAACAGGGCAGCAAACAACAAATGCGAGGTTGTGGAGAGATTAGAACTCTTAGTCTCTGCTGCTGGGAATATAAAATGGTGCAACCACTACAGAAGGCAGTCTGGCACTTTCTCAAAAAGTTGGAAATAAAAATACCGTTTGGCCCAGTAATTCCACTACTGGGAATATACCCTAAATAAACCAGAGCTACAACTTAAACAGATATATGCACACCCACACTCATGTTTATTGCTGCATTATTCCCAATAGCAAAGAGATGCAAGCAACCCAATTGCCCATCAACAAATGAATGGATAGAGAAACTATGTAACCCACACAATGGAATACTACACATCACTGAAAAATAATGAAATAGTAAAACAACACAACATGGGAAAGCCCAGAGGACTTTATGCTGAGTGAAAGATCTCAGTCCCAAAATGACAAATAATGGCATAAGACTGCTATTATAAAATAGGACAGTCATCGGGGGGCTGAGGAGGGAATGGGGAAAGAGTGGATAGATAATGAACATTGCATTAGAACAGATGAGAGGAAGAACTGTCTGAAAGGAATATATGATGAGGCATTTTATGTATGAGAACAATTGGAACAGGAAGTACATTGCAGGGTAGGCTGGGGGGAGAAAATGTAAGAAGAAAAGAAAGGGAAATACGTACTGAAAAAAGAAAAATTCAAATCGTGGAGCCTACCTGCTTCAAAAACTGCCAATATCCGGTCCTCCAAAGCTGATTATAAATATTTCGTAAACACCCAAAATAACTGGAACTTATTTCTTCACTTGCAATAAACTATAAGCAATAATTACTGCTTAATATTATATACTAGGTATATAGTAAACCCATGAACTTGGAGAAATGAAGAAAGTTCATAGGGTTGCTATGAATTGCCTATAACTCAGCGGCATTTAATAACAACAGGTATATGGTAAGAATTTCATATACATTATCTTGTTTAATCTCAGTAATATCAGAGAGATAA